GTTTTTCTTGTATGACCTATTCGTAGTCTTCTGGCAGCTTCAATGACCGCGCTGTCCACTTTTTCGTTCCCGGCTATCCCTAATTTACCGGGATATTACAAAACAATATAAATACAAAAATAATATATTTTTTTATATATTACAAAATAAAGTAAACATAAATATCTAATTATTTTTAAGTAAGTACATGATAAAAAAACAAACAAGATTTGATCATTACTATTCTAAATAGCGTATTCCTTTTTTGATTTTAAATTAATTTTTGAAGCTAATAATTTTTTTTAATTATACAATTTGTCGCTTTGAGAGATCCATAAAGTCATATCTAATTATCTTAGCCACCTCTCCGTATAAAAAAACCTACCCTGTGACACAAGGATTAAGTTACATAAGTCGTTAATTTAATTTTATTTCATAAATTAATAACGCTAAAAGTTAAGTTACAAACTAAAACAACGATATTCTTTAATTACGAACAATTCGACATCAATGCTATTAAGTAAAATTAAATTAAATTAAACTTATCAACTTAGATAATTTTAAGCAATCTACTATTATATAGGTCATCATATCTGTTTTCAAAGGATTGTTTTTATCCTTAAGGCCAATTTAGTCTAAAAGTTAAACTGATTCAAGTTAAACAACTCTTAATACATGTTAACTGAGAGTGAATAGCATAAAAAATATCTCTGAGAAGATTCTTTTAATTTTATCTCAGCAACATTGCTGACGCTATTGTGTCATTTGTTATTGTGAATTAAGAACCTAATTCAGAGAGATTTGAAATATAAAACATTCTGTTCATATAAAGTGGAAAAGGAGACATTGTTTCTAGAAAGAACGACTCTAGAATGAGATTTCTCATAATCAAAAACAATTCTCCCTTGCTATTTTTAACGTTATATGTATAGTTTTATTATGATAATTTATGATTAACGCTGAGAAGATGAAGTGACCATTTCAAAGTCGTTTCTGGTTCCGTTCTCACCTATCTCTTCCACGTTTGGGGATACCAGTATTCCAACGCTATTAAAAGAGCACTGAGAGTGTATTTTTAAAAAGTTGTTTAAGCTTCCCAGAGCACTCCGAATTACATGATTTGCGTTTAAGCTAAATGCCTTCCGACCCATGTTTTTAATTTCTTCTTACATTTTAGATATGTATTAAGAGTCCTACAACTTCAGTCATTCAGTTCACCAAATTTATTGGCCTCTCAAGTAATTAAGAAGAAAATTCTTTAGTTCCAGGATTGGAATTGTTGGATGAGGAAAGCAGGCGATCGCACAGTTTTCGGTTTATAGATGAATGGGGCACAAATGGATTTCGTCTTAAGGATAAAATGATAAATTTTGGTCAAAAGGAACAACTGATGATTTGGGTGTAATGACTTAACTATTCAAACTAATTATTAAGACTTAATTATAAACCTAATATCTTGAAGAATTTACCTCTGCTCCATATGTAATAGGAAAGAAAATGAGGCTACATTCCACTTTTTGGGCCACCAGGGATTTTTTTTTTTTTAGTTCTGAACACCTGTCGGATGTAGCTATCGTTAAACTTTTAAACTGAACCCATTGGCTAAATGTAATAAATTAAAAGAGCTTCACATTTTAGCAATTTTTTTAGTTAAAAATTTTAATTACTAATCAAGTAATGTATTTTACTTTTCTTTTATTCTTTTGTATTAGTTTGTTTTTTTTTAGCAGAAAAAACTAAATTTTATTTTCTGTTTGATATTAGTTTAGTTTACGTTAAAGCTAAAAAAAATCGTTAAAATTTTAAACTGAACCCATTGGCTAAATTTAATAAATTATGAGTAAAAGAGCTTCACTTTACAGAAATTTTTAGGTAAAAATTTTAATTACTAATCAAGTAATGTATTTACTTTTCTTTTATTCTTTTGTATTAGTTTGTTTTTTTACCAGAAGAAACTAAATTTTATTTTCTGTTTGATATTAGTTTAGTTTACGTTAATGCTAAAAAAAATCGTTAAAATTTTAAACTGAACCCATTGGCTAAATTTAATAAACTATGAGTAAAAGAGCTTCACTTTACAGAAATTTTTTAGGTAAAAATGTTAATTACTAATCAAGTAATGTATTTACTTTTCTTTTATTCTTTTGTATTAGTTTGTATTTTTAGCAGAGGAAACTAAATTTTATTTTCTGTTTTATATTAGTTTAGTTTATGTTGAAGCTAAACGTTTGGTCATTATAATTATTTTTTCTTGTTGTATTCAATTTCTTTTCTTTTGTGAAATGGATTTGAACTCCTGACAGACGGCCTCGGCTATTGTCATTTTTTTCTTTTTGTACCTTTTTATTATTACTTTTGTATTTGTTCATAATATTTTAAATAAAAGTATTTATCTTCTATCTATTATGATGTCAAAAGCTTCGCGATTTTGACCCGTGTCGGAACAATAATTTTATTATAGCCACTTATTTCACAATAAGCTTTTTTACAGTCGTTAACCATTTCCCCCCGGGTCATCATCATTAAGAAAAAAGCGAAACGAATCCCGCCCACAATTAAAAGTCGCCCCCTCGATTTCTTCTGTATGGGAACATATTTGAGGAAATTCAACTTTGTCCCCGAGTTTCTCAGCCTATAAACATCGTTAGCGATGATGGATGTAGTCCGGGATAGAATTTAAATAGGAGCCTGATGGCTTTAACATGGGAAGGGCTCTTGTTTAGCTTTTGTGGCGGGTTTTATTTTATTGATTATGCTTTCAGAAGGGCGAGGGCATAAAAAATCTAAGCCTCGACGGCATAAACAAATTGAACGGCGGAAGAGCCACGGTTAAGGTTCCGGATTATATGTACAGTAAACGACCAAGTGCCATTATCAACAGCGTGTATTTCGTTGGATACAAAAATTTATTCATGATTTGACGTAAAGAGCGTTTATTACTCGAACTACACGGATAAAAAATTAGTATTTTTCACTCTTTTACATATATTTGTGGAACTTTTAGTCATGCATAAAAAGAACAATAGCATAAAATAAAGCAAGTAAGTTTTATTTTATTTTTTTATTTTTTTATTTTTTTTTAACACAAATTTCAAACCATAAAACAATCACAATATAGTTTTTAAAAGTTGATAATCACTGGAAAGATATTGTACATTGAATAATCATCCAAAACTAAGTATGTTATTTTTGGAACTGCCATTCTGAACCGGCACCGGGTCACTTTGGGTCTGTCTCCTCTTGAGGGTTTGTTGAGCTATTCAAACGCGTTCAAAGTTATTCAGAACGGACTCAGTTCGTGTTTATCGACATTCAGGCCAAAATGCCTCATCAACTATACCATTGTTTCAATTAATTTTTTAATTAATGATTATTTGAAAATCGAGCTATGCAGTCTGGTGTGAAGTAGGTTTTAGAAAAACATTTTCTTTATCGTGCAACGTTTCGATCTTTATTGAGATCATCTTCAGGGCCTGTTAGCTGCATTTCAACAAAAATGTTCTCTGATTGATAGCCGATGCGAGTTTCTTCTCATTGTTGGCGATGTCCTTCAGAATACTCTTTGCTTGGTGTCCATATGTAGTTGAAATCCGTTCATAGAATCCCATATTCTTCGTTCTTCTCGTGTAGAAATTCGTGGTGTTTAGTGACCGTTACTTGATGATTTTATTTTTCTTCTTCGTTCTTCTCTCATTTTTAACTCCTGTTGAACACCCATGTGAACAAAACATTAATAATTTATGTGTGGTGATTAGTGACCGTTAATCGATAATTAATCAGAAATCGTGAGATGCGGTCTGGTGTGATGTAGGTTTCAGAAAAACATTTTCTTTATCGTGCCAACGTTTCGATCTTTNAAGATGATCTCAATAAAGATCGAAACGTTGTCACGATAAAGAAAATGTTTTTCTGAAACCTACATCACACCAGACCGCATCTCACGATTTCTGAATAATTAATAATTTAGGGATAATATAACGTTAATATTATGTTTTATTTTGAATTAGATGTATTTCATTTTTGTCGTGAATGTGACAACTTGAATATCCAATAATTTATACAATTTCACTATTTTTAAAATTACAATTAATTAATTGGTCAAGCGGTCCACGAAATTAGGGAATTTTTTAAATTATTTTTTGAATGAATTAATGAAAGAAAAAGGAATTTTATTTTAAAATATAAATAACCAACAGTTTTTATGTAGCGTTGATTACAAAACTGACTGTGGAGGTCGTGGCAAGGGGAAATTCACTGAAATAGAAAATATTATGTACATACAAAATCACAGTTCTCAAAAAGAACACCCGAAACTCTTCAACAATGGAACAGTTGCCAAAAAATGAAAGAGGTCCTCCTTCGCAGAGTAGTTACACTATAAGCAGCGCTTTAAAAAATCATATCTCAGAGAAGAGTAATTAAAGTAATAACGTATGTGTGATAATCAGGTATTAGGTCACAGAAACATAGAAACTCCCAACTTCATGCCAAGCTTTCGTTTAATTTGTAAACAGGGGTTAGTTAGTCTACAACTTCTTCATCGGGTACATATGTAGATGTTTATAAATACTTGATAATAATAAAATAATAAATAACATAGAAAAACAACAATTAAAATATCAAAAATACTAAAAACAACAATGGATAAATTATTTTCACCAATCTGGTTAATTTAATAAATAAAATAAAATAAAATAGCGGACAACCTTAGGAAATTATACAGTAGATATAAATGATGATAAAATAGATAAGTTCGCACCTAAGTTGAAGAGACATCATAAATTATTAGGTGATAGCTTTAGATCAGGGGTGCTCAAACTTGAACTGCTGGCGATCTACCTCAATATTTTTAGACTACTTACGATCGACTCTGAGAGGCTGCAAGTGTGTGTGATGCAGGGTTGTCGTACATACACGATACACCCTACCTACCTAGGTAGGGTGTACCGTAGCATATATAGATATTAGCTTTCTGCACAATATAGGTACATTATTTTAGTCAAGGTTTGGGTTAGGTTTAGTCAGGTCTTCTCTACAATAGCAATGAAAAAACTAATAGTTATTCAAAATTGCGAGTTTATTGGTTGTTACAAAACAAAAGAGTTACATATGGTGTTAAACTTAACTAAGGAGTGGCTTTGGATGTTGAAGCGTGGCACTGCATGTCCTCAGCATACTTTTCATAAGATGGTACGTAACCACTGAGTGCTAATCGCAAGCATGATGACATATGATCGTCAGTTAGTCGATTGCGATATTTTGACTTAATTATCTTCATTTCAGAAAATGCAGACTCGCACAAGTAAGTTGACCCAAAAAATGCCGTCAGTTGAAGGGCGATTTGCCTTACATTCGGATATTTATCTTCAGATATAAAACACCAGAAATTTGTATCAGATGCTGTAGCTTTGAGATGTATATCTGATATAATCTGCACCAACTCATTTTCAACAGAACATGAGTTCATATTAAACTGACTTGCTATTTCAGTAGCTAATTCCTCAATGTTTTTACATGAAAAAGGATAACTCATAAATGATGCTATATTTTCCAATTTACTGCAATCATAAAAACGCATTTCGAATTGTCCCAAAATATTTGATAATTCAGCCTCATACGTATCATAATTCAACTGAGGAATCCTTGCTTTCAAAGACGGAAAATGTTTCAGATCCTTTCTTTTCAGTTGATCTATCATAAGTTGCAATTTACTTTTGAATGCGTTTACTGCGCTAATCATCTCAATAATAGTTTTTCCTTTACCTTGAAGCTCCAAGTTAACGGTGTTTAAGTGCATTGTGATGTCAGTCAAAAATGCCAAATCAGTCAGCCATTTTTCGTTTTTCACAATCTGAGTGTCATAACCTCTTTCGTCTAGAAAAGCTGTTATTTCGGGCAATAATTCTTGAAACCTTTCTAGGAATTTTCCGCGACTCAACCACCTGACGTCCGTGTGAAGAACTAAATCAGTGTGTTCAGCTGACTCCCTATCTTCCAACTGCAACTGAAAGAGCCGCCGTTGCAAGCTACGTGCACGGATGGAATTCACAATTTTTGTTGCAATGCCCATAATTTCCTCCGTGTTTAAAACTTTTGAACACAAAACTTGTTGATGTATAATGCAATGGAATGAAAAAAATGAAGGGAATTCTTCATTAGCTCGACACAATGCCACAAAACCGTTTTTGTTTCCAGTCATTGCTGGTGCTCCATCGGTTGTAATGCACACTAATTTATATATTGGTAGCTCGTAGTTTTTTACAAAATTGAAGAAAACGTCATATATATCTTCGCCACGGGTCTTCCCCTTCAGAGGAATGATTGTCAAAAATTCTTCCTTAGCCAACATGTCATTGAATACCATCCGAATAAAAATACACAGCTGGGCAGTGTCTGTCATATCGGTGGATTCGTCGAACTGTAAAGAAAAGTATGTACATTCCATGATATCATGTTTTAGTTTATCTGCGATGTCCTGACACATGACTTCAATACGCCTTGTGACAGTCGGACGAGATAACTGAAGTTCTCTAATAGCAGACATGATTTCTGTTTTATTTTTAAAATCTCCAAATAAAGTCTCACCCGCTTCAATAAATGCTTCCTTCACCACCGATCCATCTTCGAATGGTTTCTTGTGTTTCGCCAATATATGAGATATTTTAAATGACGCGATCGTAGCAGCTTTTGATTGTTTGGCTGGTCTTGTGAACATGGATTGTTCTTTTTTCAAACAAGATATCAAATCACTTACTTTTCGTTTTCTTAATTCACTCTGTGGCGGAAAATCCTTTTCATAGTTTTTATGAACCGTTTTATGATGCCTCTCTAAGTTACCACGCTTAGGTATTGCAACTGACGCACGACAAATAACACAAATGCACTTATCCTTCACCATACAAAAGAAAAATTCTTCCTCCCAATTTTCCACTATTTAATAATAAACTTTATATCGACGTAGTATCGCCATCAAGTTACAATTCAGAATGACTCCAATTCCTGCAGGCACAACATTTATATCGGCGTGAACGAAAGTCTCGAATGTTCCCGTCAAACGCGCCGCCCGAAACTAGACTGTACTGTCTCTCGTTGTTTCTAGACTAGACTGTACTGTCTACTAGTCTAGAAACAACGCGGCTTTTCTTTGACAAGTGCCGCGCGTTCCTTTGATAAAGCCACCTTTTGCCGCAAGCAGTGTTATTTTATTACGTAATACATTTTTGTAGTTTAGTTACCTACCTACTTATTAAAAATTTTTTTCTTCTCGAGATCTACTCAAAAAGCACTCGCGATCGACTGGTCGATCGCGATCGACCGTTTGAGCACCCCTGCTTTAGATTATTACTACTTAAGTCGAAAAATGCCTTTGAATATTCGAGTTACTACTGGATCAAAGGTGCAATTCGGTACAAATTTAAAATGCCAGGAAAAATAGAAGTTTTAAATTCCGACTATTTAGAGGTATGGGAACCGAGGGAACCATTTTTCGTGGCTGTTAAGAGAGAACACGACAATAATAAAATCATGGGCAAGTAAATTGAGCGTTCGAACCAGGACAAATGATTATTATTTCAGCTTGCGTAATTTTGGGATGTATAAAGTCAGGCAACAAAAGTGTCCTGCTTAATTATGTATGATAAAGTTTTAACGTATCAGTAGAGTTTGGGTGTAAAATTTAGGGGATGAAATTTTAGAATAAAAAATGCACTAAAACTACAATAGATCGAAACCGTTTCGGCCAAACCTGGTTGTCAGAGCACACAACGTTAAAAACTCGAATTTAGTATTAGGTAGAATAGAAGAGTTTTAGAAAAGCGTACAACAGATTGATCAATTGCGAATATCCACGAGTACATTTCTAGGGGTGAGAGATCGAGGTTGGGGCGTGAAACCACCTTTATATTCTTATAATCCTGCCCTCGCCATTTATTAATTAATTTATTAATTAAGAGTGCGACATATCAATTATTGTGAAAATTGGTCCGTTTATTGTTGCTTGTTTTGGTTTCATGAGCTGTGGTGCCACATTGTGCTAAGCCTAGGGCATTTTTTCTCTAAACTTTTCCTATTGGCCAAAAAGTATTCGGTTTTACCGATCAATTATAAAGTTTTAAAATTTTTTTTCACACAAATTCTATTCTTAGGATTTCTGGTTTACCATATGAATGGCTGGACCAATTACTTCTCTGTCGTTATATAAATGTGTTTCGGCCGATTATATCATAAAATTAATCGATTGAAAATTGTATTTAACAAATATCATACGAGGTTGTGATAAGTTTAGCCTTTTTCTAGAGCTAATTAACAGGTGTGAATTTGAAAATCGACAGCAAACATGCCGGCGTATAAAAGCTTACTACACTGCAGCAAAGGGGCACTTGATAGCCATGGGACGGAATAATTTTCAATATCTGTAAAAGTACGAATCGGCTCAGCAAGCTACGCCAACTGCGAAACCCCACTGAATATTATTCCATCAAACGTAACCTGTCATAAAATATTGGGATTTCGAAACTTTATTTGGTTAAACTTGAGAGAGTGGGCATGTTGCTGCGGCCGAGAAACCCAGCTATAGTAAGTAACAAAAACGTTTCACAGTCTGGCAAAACAATGCAGTCAAACCACCATAAATCCTGCATTAAACAATCACCATCTTATAAATCTAAAGTCAAACTTCCACTTAATTCGGCCAATATCTGACTTGTTTGGTCAACATTTTAACACTGAAAAAGAAAACTAAAGTTATGTTGAGTTGTTCTTCAAAGGTCTCATCATTATACAACAAATTACCGAAAAAAGAATTGTTACTTCATTATTCCATTAAAAAGTAAACTACGCAAAAATGAATAGGCATATTTGTAATTTATTCTTATTCTATTAATTTTAATTAAATTAACCAATATATTATTGTTAGTTGAATAAAACAAAAGTCCTAATGCTAACAATATCTGACATTTCTTTCTGATCTAACATACCTGATATATTATTTTTAACTTCACCTTTCTTTTATAATCTTTAGGAGATGTGGCACTTTCCTTTTTGTAATATTCAATCCCTTTTCTTCTCATACATGTTTTACCTCCATCTAAAGAGAAGAACAGACTGAGCACTTTTTAAGCATTACAGTTTGATGCTTACCACTATACTTTTCGATGAGAAAGAAAAAAATTAAGAAAAACTTTTAAGCTTTCTTTCTAAAATAATAACTTTTTCAAACGAGAGAAATGATTTTTATCTATATTGTTTGGTTAAAATCTAAAATGGTCATAATATTTTATTCAAAATATGTTTATACATCTCCGGACATATTGTCCGGCCTTTGTCATGTTAATACGATTTACGATATAATGCTTTTATCGCTATTGAATTCTTTCTAATATAAACTGCGCAAAACTGAATAGGGATATTTGTAATTTTTTCTTATTCTGTTAATTTTAATCAAATTGAACGATATATTCTTATATATTATATTGTTAGTAGAATTAAAAAAAAAAAAGAAAATACAAACAAAAAACGTTTTAATCCTCATTTTTAATAACGGATTTATTAACTAATGAAGATTACTCATTTTATAAGCAAACAACTTTTTTTCGTATTTTCTCAATTTTAATCCAGTTGTGTTCTTCTTTAACCATGGAAAGACATCATTTTGAATCTGAAGTTCGCAATATTATGGTGAGATGAGTCATCGAGGTCACCGGCAAGTGGATATCGCAGAGGCAGTTGGCATTTCTCAGAGCTTGGTCGCCTGGGCTTTAGCCCGATTCGGAAAGACTGGAAGTGCCAATAGTGGCCTGGTAGTGGATCTCAGCGCATTAAGAAGCTGGGAGGGCAGAAAAAAATGTCATAGTTGCAAGACGGAACCCTTTCCATAGTGCCCGTCAGATCCTAAATGAAGTTTTGGATGGTTTTATGAACACAAACGATTCTTCACCTTTGTGGGAAGTTGACTCCACAACCTATGCCCTTTCAGACGACTAGCAACAATAGCCCGCCAACATCAACTCGAGAGAATATGGTGCATCTAGCGCCTAGAAGAGTACGATAATTAGAATGCTGTTATTTTTACTGATAAGTAACGTTTCTGTCTGTAAGTTCCAGTTTCTTCTGCTACCCCTACACAAAAATACTATACGTTTGCGAGCCATCGTGTCCTTCTCTTCGAGGTAAAGTAAATAGCTACCTTCTGTTATAAAAATGGTTATAAAAATGGTTAGGGATGATGGATGATTATCATTATTATTAAATTATAGATGTTACTAGTTAGTCGTTTTTCATTCATTAGAGTTATTGCTCTGAGTTTCTTGCGTTTTTGAATATGCCTTTTCTCTCCCCAACCAAAAGAAGAAATAGATCTGAAGAAACTTAATAGCTTAAGCTGGGATAAATCAACAGGTGCACAGTTTTACTAAACAGAACATTCTTTACTTCTCTAGTGGATTGTTGTGAATTTAGCGAACCCAAATGTTTTTTAATTATATAATGTTTAGACAATGACGTATGGCACGAGGTTTATGGTAAAATTCTGTCATATTCATAAACGGTTTTCTCTTCTTTTAAAGAAATTGACGCAATTTAAATAACTGCGCTGAAAGTTCAGAAATGCTAATTAAATGACCTAATATTTTCTGTATGGTTCTAATTATTTTCTAGTAAAACTTACGGAATTTAATATTTTTATTTGTTAATAAATAAAAGATTGTAACCAAACGAGTTTTTAATGATTCATTACGGATATCTACTGCGATATCTCGCAATTGTATCGGGCTATGCACTAACTAAATTGTTCTAAACCTGGCTACTAAAGCTCTTACAGGGAAAAGAAACCCTATTGTACTTAATAGAATCCCCCAAGGATCGGCCTGGTCCGATTATGTTCCTCTGGGATCGGGAGTACCACAGAGCAGTGTATTTGCACCAATCTTTTATCTCCTCTTCCCAGCAGATATCCCGACTTCTCCTCCCACCATCCTTCATCCTTTGGCTGTGACAAAATTATGCTATCCTCTGATCCGATCGCATAATTGATTTTGAGGCATATGTCCTGCAAATAGCCGAACGGAGCGAACTCTTGCGTATAAAGCTTAATGAATGCAACAGCACCATCATCCACCCTTTAAAGAAAAATTGGTCATACCAAGTTCCTTAATATAATTCCATGCCAAAAAACAGACTGCTTCCCCTACATTGCATTCCATCTAGATTCACGACTAACCTGTAACCAACTCACACGATTCCAACCGGTCCGAGCTGGTTACTGTGGTCGCACGGAGAGAGGGACTGGAATGAACAGAAAATTGAAAGAATGAAATTGGCTTTGGCTAAAAGCTGATATAAAAGATCACAACTAAAACAAAATTAAATAACCGTTTCATTTTCGTGTTTTTAAAGAAAATGAAATGAAGAAAAATGAAGAAAATCGTCGTTTGTTTTTAAAGAAAAAAGAAAGAAAAAGATCAAGAACAAAAGAAGAAGAAAGATCCCGCGGTCGTGGGTTCGATCCCCACCGTCGCCTCTGGACTTTTTCTGACGCCTAAGGGGACCGGTGGCCGCAATTGAAAGAAATTGACACGGCACTCATCAATGGAAGGGGCGGGATCGGATTTCAGCGACCCTGAATTTGGTCCCAACCCCCTTCAAAAATGAGTTTCTTCGATGGAAGAACACCGGTACAACGGGGGCTCAAGTTCACATTTGTGTTGCGAGCCCTCCCCCAAAATATGGAGCCAGGGATAAAGTACAATAAGCTGTACAGCTCAGCTGCAGTGCGCAGGGGGGAACTCCTCCAGTCCCTGGTATCCATTAAAAAAAAGTTTCAACAAAAAACAAACTTATAATCTATCAGACAATACTAAAACCAAACTGGGCGTACAGACCAGAACTCTGGGGCAACTTTACACGTTTTAACATCCAACGAATACAGTCGTTCCAATCCAAAGAACGGCAGCCATTTAAGCTCCTTACTACGTCTTCAACATCACCATTCACAACGACTTCAAATCCCCCTGATGAAAAAAAAGTATTCCTAAAAGCAATTTCCACTTTCCCCAATAATGGACTAAATCTATTTCAATCAGCTCGTTACGTAATGTAAATAGGTACAGAATTTAATAAATGTAAAATTTGAAATTTCGAAAATGTACTTTAAAGAATAAACATATTCTACCTTAATGTTTTGATAAAGTTTACAATGATTTAATTCCCAAAAACCACACATTCTCTGAAAGCAATCTGATTGAGCAATTCTGATGTGCTAGGTTTTAGTTGGAGAACGTATTCTCTGTTTTACTATGTCACACGATAATATTTGTGTTATTAATCGTACATATGTTACATTAACGCAGTTAACATCTGTTTTATAAGTTTCCTTATGGTTTATAAGGATGAATTTGACCAGTGTATTTCTTGTCCTTTTGACATATTTTAAAATTTCTACGGGATTTACAGAATCAGGGACCATCTTGGGCAAGTTGGTTTCAAAGAAGGACGGGAAAATTTATTGTTTAGGCTCCTTCGTTACCGTATACACCCTGATGACGTCTTGCACGTGCGTCGGCCAATTCAACGAGAAGAACCGATTCCTAGCTCACAACATAACGGATTTCTTCGTCAATGTGCACAGTCAAGACCTGGCATTGAGTAGATTCTCGAAATACACGCTTTGCCACAAGAGCCATATTTCGGACGCTATCCATTTCAACCTCGGCGCAATACATTTAGACAGAATGACCAGTTGGGTCCTGCAACGGATCAATCCGATGATGCCGCCTACGCAAGGCTTAGAGGACCTGGAGATCGTGCTCGACGAACTGGAAGAGAAGGCGCAAGGCTGCATTATATTTGGCCGGACGGATGAAAATAAAATCGTTGGTTACCCCACGAACTTGAGCCAGATGGTAGAGTGCACGCTCAATTGCAAAACTGCCTGGTTGTGCGATTATATAAACGAAATGTCAGAAAATTTTGTTAGATGCGCCGAGCAGCCGACAGATTTTATACCAGGAAGCCCAGTTCTCTGCAACGACACTGTCTGGGGCATCATAGACAAATGTGACGCTGGGATCGCCATTTACACACCGCTTGACGTCAACTACGAATATTATTTCGAACTTGTAGGAGCGACTTCTCGCATTTTTAATAGCACTTACATTTTACTTCCATTTTTATTTTATTCTTATTTTTTGGCCAATTAACAAAATTTTATTAAATGCCACGCTTAAGTGCGCGATCCTATTATTTCTCACACCATGCATCTCTCTTGCACTCATCCTCTTTCTATTTATTTGTATGTAAAATATGACGAGAGAAGAAAGGTCTCAGCAAAATGGTCGGAGGTTGAGTGGAATATCACCTCTAACAAATACTAATACAATATTTCAATATTATATCGTAATATTGTACTTTCGCGAACCATACTTATTCACGTAATTTCTTTTTACGTTATACCATCTATTATATAAATGTCCGGTGATTAGTAGTTACATTCAATAAATATAATTAAATCTAAATTGTTAAAATCTAAAATAAGCAAAAGTATTTTTTTTAAATCCCAATTAAAAATAACTAAACTGTCGTTTTTCTTGATCGGCCTTACTCTCGAACCTTTTTTACAGGAAACAGTTTATATAAAATATTTTTTTAATACTTTGGAGGTTCTAATTTATATTTTATTTATATATTTTTTGTCAAACACCAAAATGATAAGTTTTCTCTTTTAATAATAAAATTCATATAAACCACCACCCGGTCTGCTGCTATATTTAAATTAATTTAAATATTTTTAAGCCTAATATCTCTCTACATAACCACCAAACCCTTCAATGAACTCGGGAACTCCACGGCCGAGAAAATCATAAAACAGTTTAAAATTGCAACAACCATCGTTTCTTTTTGCAGATTTCATAAGAAAGAATTAATTTTTTGAAAGATAATTGTTTGATGGAGTTATATATCTGCGCCATTGGGGCCCAATTTGATCAGACAATTTTTGGCCAAATGCGATAATTGCCTATTACAGTAACTCTTTAGACCTGGAAAACTGTGTATCATTGATTAAGTCAAAAACCACTTTCTTTTAAACGCTATGTGCATTTTTGACACCTCGAAACATTTTAATAATTCTTCTTCGACCGAAGGTCTAAACTTTAAAATCACAACCTTGAAAATTGTGTAATTTGTGTTTTTAATTATTCCAGTTTTACCCCGACAGTGCAAATATAAGCTGAATCCTGCATTTGTATACATGTGTAACATCTCTTACAAACAGATGTCAAAAAAAAATTAAATTAATAATATAAACTAAAATAGATAAAAATAATAATAAATTAATTAATAAAAATTTTAAAAGGTTGGTACCAATGAAAATAAAAGAAAGATAAACGTAGAGGAGCTCGAGGGGACAGAGATCTCATACACTCTCTCCTGAACCCGAGGAGAATCAACCTAATTAAAAACACAAGGTATTTAAGATCATTTCTTTTAATTCCGGATATCCTTTGAGTGATCGCCAGTTAAACTTGTTTGTTCATTTCAATTTATTTTATTTAAAAAAAAGTTGTATTTTGTTTTGAGTTTATTTAAGAAGATCAATAAAAATATAATTTATTTTATTTTTCAAAAAAAGGTGTATTTGTTTTGAGTTAATTAAAGACGATCAATAAAAATATAATTTATTTTATTTTACAAAAAAAGGTGTATTTTGTTTTGAGTTTGTTAAAGAAAATCAATAAAAATAATTACAATTAATTAATGTTTTCAGTTGAGATTAAAAAAATAAGTATCCTGAGCGGGATTCGAACCCACGATCTTCGGCTAGATACGCCGCTGCTCTACCACTTGAGCTATCGTGACCTAGATCCACTCGGACATCAACTTCCTATCTCATCCCCACCTTATGAGTTTTCCCTCCTTTTTGCCATTTTTCAATGCCATTAGCTTTTTTTCATCTCAACTAAAAACCTTAATTAATTGTAATGTATTAATTGGTCAAGCGGACCACGAAATTAGTGAATTTAATAAAAATAATATTTTGTTTCTGGAAAGAATTTTATATTTTACATTTCATTTTTACACAGAAAGGTGACACATGTGTATGTGCCTTCTTTAATTTTTCCTTTTTAAAAGAAAAAAGAAAAGTGTGTTCCTGATCATGTTGCCCAACAAATAAAATATTACTTTCCCCAGAGGATCAATTAATTTAAAGAACTGAATTTAAGTTTGTATGATTACTTACTGTTATTACAAAATTATATCAACTTTGGATATCTATTAAATCAGTATAGTTATTTCTATTACAGTTAATGTCTCATAAAATAAGATTATGTATCATGAATAACTTAAAGGTTTTTAATTGAATTTTTTTATTGTTTTAATTTGAATTTTAAATTTTAGAGAAAGTAAATCAAAATCAATAATTCTTAATAAGCTAAATAATTTTATTGGGATTTATAGGAACAAACTTATTCAAATACTTAGGCACACAGGAACAATCCTCTTTCACCATCATTTACAAAAATTAGAACAATCCTGTTAGTACTTTTTATATTTACTTTTTTATATTTTAACTGTTAAACAAATTTCTTTATGAATTTATACAAAAATAAATTGGTATAAACTTGTTTGCTTTTTATATTAAAATTTAAATAATACCAAATTTGACTTAGGTACACAAGATCAATCTGTTTGTACTAATTTAAATAATATAATATTGAACTTTAAAACAAATTTTTCTTTTGATGAAATAAATTAATACAAATTCTTCATTTATGTTAAAATTATAAAAATATATAATAGGCAATTAAATTCTGAAAAATAAAATAATTTGAACCAGCCACTAAACTTCAAAAAAAGGGAGGCAAATAAAAAGGAAATTGACCTCATATCTTTTATTTTATATTAAATTTTCTTGACATAAAAAATGTCAAGTCGAGATAGGATCAACTGCTGTTATGCTGATTATTAGCCCTAGACATTCTTTTTGCTCCAAACCAGAAAAGATGGTGAGTCAGTTCAGCACTGCACCTGCCCCATCATGCCACATTTAGGTTGCTTTTCTTTCGCACAAATACTGCATAAAATATCCCATTTAATATTTGAACCCATTATAATTTTTGTTTACATTGGCCGTTTATGTATTTATTATATATTTATTTATTATATATTATGAATTTTTTCCTTAATTTCTCTAAATTTTCAAAAATATTAATTTTGGAACAACTTTTTCCAATAAATGTTACACATACATACATAAATAAATTTAATAGGTACTAGGTTTACATAACTGAAAACACAATAAGGTAAGAAATACGAGATTATAGAAGCGCCAATAGGTAGCGGTTTCTATTTGAAGTAACTTTTGTTTTCTTCTGTTTCAACATTTCAACCACCTTGAAGCACAGGCCTCAAACCTTGGCTGTACTTCAATCTGGTCCATAGGAATAGGAACCAATTTGGAGACAGACGTTTTGTAGTTGCCATCAACGGTCTTGACTTGCAACTCAGACATGCCATCTGCAGGATGAACCTCGAGCTCAATGATTTTTGACATTATTAGAATTAGTGGTTTCCGGCAATGAAGTCGGTGGATTGCAAATCGGAAAATAGCCAGGGGATAGGTAGATATGTAGAACTGGTAATTGTATTACATGCGGTGAATTTAAAGATCTGCGGCCAATTAGGCTGTTTTGCGAAGATTACCTCAGAAGGAAAGAATGTACAAGGCAATCGCAAAGTCTTCAATAAAGCATCCACTTAACTTAGATACATTACTGACATTGAAAAACAGCAAACTTTTTAGAGGCATTTCAAACTTATATATTTATTGTTAATACTTATTCTTATATTTATTAATGTGCATTTGTAGATATTTTTGTAGAAATTTAATTGTTTGGATTTGTTAATGTCAATTTATTTTTTTTCGAAAATATTAAAATTTAGCCTAATTGCCTATGGTCAATAAAAAAATTTCAAACAGTTAAACTCAAAACGCATTTCTATTCACCCACTATTAAGCAGGGCACAGTGAGCAACCTTTTTCTACTTTCCGGACACATAAACAGTTTATCTTCGTATAATATATTTTTATGATTCACGTTATTTCATTTTCAAATGTAAACTTGGTAATAACGGCAGGCTCGGTCTCATCGTGACCAGGGTAGCTAATCGCACGAGCAATTAGGACTGTGATGATCTTTCAGGCTGAGATCTCCCATGAGGCGATTATATGGCGGAGACGGTATGTAGGAGATGGTGGATGTCACACCATATCTCGGCACATCTGCCTAATGACTGTCAGTCCATTTCCTGCACTTAACCATCCATCTCGACGAGAGAAGGTTTAAATCAAAGTCCAAAATCATGAAATATAAAGTTTACAAAGAATATTTTCTTAACCGGTAAATTGTTTTTAATCTAATAATTTTTCATGTTTGTGTTATTCCATCAAAATCTGTTCTTTAAAATTTGCTGGCACTTATGCAACCTGGGAATAATAAACGGGACTGTATATAAACGTACCAGAATCAAAATTCTAAGGTATTTTTACTAACAAGGGGAAGCGGAAACACGGCCGTGGATCACCGATTTCAATTTAATTTTTTTCAGAATAAAAAATACTTTAAGTAATTTAAATATAGATCTCTACCTAGGTTGTAAAAATATTTCTAAGCATTCCAAGATACTTAAAAAACGGGGTTTTTGATGTGTCAAAAATGAATGTAAATTTTTATCTTACTGCAAAAATGTTTCAACTTCCTTTGAAAAAACACAAAAAAAAAACATGGAGTGAGCAAATTCGAGCGACGTCTTGAAATACAATAAATACTTTGTGAAAGAGCTACATAGAAAAGTATGTTGAAATACAAATTAATTTGAATTTTAAAAAAAATTAATATTCATTTTTTTATCTCATTTTTTATAACATTCCAAATACGAGGCCAACCAAAAATTTAAATTTTTTCGTGGCTCTCCCATGGAATATTATAAACAATAAAATAAAAAAATAAATTAAATAAGACAACCTATAGAAAAAAGTAACATTAACATACTATCAACTAAAGATAATATTTTTTATGAAAAGTTGATATTCCTTTTTCTTACTCCAAAAAAAACTCCTGAATAGAAATTTGAGAGAAAATTTAAAAAAATTCTGCCAAAATTTTGCTTTTCAAATACTTCCAAATTTTCTCAAAAATCACAACAGTATTAACTCAAAACAACTCCACCAATTTACTGAAAACTTTACAGAGGTTTAGAATCATATAAATTATACGTAAATAAATCAATAGTGGAGACAAAAATAAAAATTTTGAAAGTTTTTTTGTTGAAATTTAGCACGATTTATCTCTGTTATACTTGCTTGAAATCTGAACATTGTTGAAATAGTTTAAAATAGGAACTATTAAACTTTGCAATAACATAAAATGTCGATGAAATCCAAGGATTTTTATTTGTAATAGAGATATTATTACGATGTAACCCTCTATTTAAAGCGTGTTTCTTTAACGGAATCCAAATTGGGTTTTCCCAAAAGAATTTTTTTACTATGCTTGGAGTTCTTTTTGTTTTTGCACCTTCTTATATGCATAGCTAACCTCTTTTAATACAATCCGGCATATTAATTTCTTATTCTGGATGTAAACATACAAATATGCTGACATATCAGTACTTTGGAATACATTCACATGGGTCTAATACTTTTCGATTTAGTATCATTAAAATATTTTTCATTAAAATCTGTCATCCCACAGCCGTAGTCATCACATATAAATTTCTAAGCCAGAATTTTCTCTGGACTTAAAACAACGATCAAGAGATATTGCAAAAATCATACGAGACCAATTTGAAATGTATACGATGTTTTATATTGTATTTATGCCGTCATGGACTAAAAAACTTTTAAAAGGCTTTGGACCTTCGTTGAATAGCTTTCGTAACACTCATTTCATAGAAGATTTATAAAAGGCTAAGGTAAGGTTGAAATGAACCTAAGGTGCTTTCTTGAATGGATTTCGTCCAGAGAAAATCGTTCTATTTGCCATGATTCGTGTTGAATTCTTTTCTCTGATCTAAGCCCAGAGAACAAAGCAATTTCAACAAGTACAATCAACTAAATGCCGCCATCAAGAAAAGTGACCTGTTTTACTGAAAAGAAACTAGCTTTTTTTCGGTGACAACTCATAATGCAAGGTTGTCTTTTTGGGTCGAAATCGTCCAAAAATTACTTCTATGGAATGAACCGTTCTATGTACATCCATTTGTAGAACGTTCAGTAAGGAATAAAAGAAATCTGTCTAGGCAATAAAAATGGTAAAAATTAAAACTGAAAAAATTCTTTACAAACGACTGAATGCTAACAACATCTGACATATCTTTGATCTAACAGACCGGATATACATTTTTTTAACTTCTCCTTTCGTTTATAATCTTTAAGAGATGTGGCACTTTCCTTTTTGTAATATTCAAACCCTTTTCTTCTCATGCATGTTTTACCTCCATCTAAAGAGAA